AAATTTTATTTAAAAATATCTTATAATTTAAGATGAGGGGAGCATTTTATAAGTATTTTATGTTTGTTTCCCATTTTCCTGAGACAGGAATGTTAATGAATTTAGGAATTGACGAAAACGAGAATACATCAATAATATTAACGAGATTAGCGGATGCAATTAATTTTAGTCCTTGTCAATAATGTCGGATCAATTGGCCAAAAATAAATAAATAATGTCGCATCAAAATAATTTTAGGTATGATATTGACTGATTAATGGGTGATCTTTCTACTTCGGCCAAAACATTAAAAAATAAAAAATAAAACTGGCTTTCTCAGTAGCAAAAAAGATCAACACTGAAACTGAGATGATGATAAATTTCAGCCTTGACATAATGGGGCTTCCATGGCCTTCAGAATAAAAATAAATTTTATTATAGGATCTTAAGTATTATAATTGTTCTAGAGATTAAATTGAATATCAAAACTTAAGTGACACATTATTACTTTTTACATAAATATTTCTTTGTAAAAAATTATAAGTATAATGATAATTTTGAAGATCTATGGATGAATTAATAATAACTTTGTGCTATTTTTTTTAATGGACTCTTGAACAAAATTTCTAAGAATATTCTCAGGAAGCAATGATAAGCTTATACCTTATATGCACTCATTCCCGGTTGGAAATATGGACGACGGTCTCTAGCTTTCAACATCATCATTATTTATTTCCTTATATGATTTAATAATTACATGAACTTATAAGAAGCAAACATATAGCTATATAATTACGTTAACCATAAAAAAGGTTAGAATAGGAATGAATTGACGATAAATCCATTTATTTAATATATTAAATACTTAAACTTAGAGATCATCAATATTCGTGTGCCTTATAATGATGAACAAAATATATCGACATTCCTATTTTTTGATCTTAATTACAATTACAAATATGAAGTACCTTCCTTCTATATTAAAAATGAGAAAATTTTGTTTGGCCTGTACATCAATTATCCATACATTATGCAAAAAAAATATAAATTTACATGTTATAAATATAATTTAATTAGACCATTGATTATATGAAAGAGAGAAAAGGTAATAAGTTGAAGTGGCATTCTATTCCAAAAAATAAAATTATCAAAAATAATCAAAACTAAAATTTTATTTAATTAAACTAGGTAATTTTACTTGATAGGCGGTTGACGATCTGGTACATTGGATCCATGCAAAAATTTTCTTTAAAAACTTATACAAATTCTCCTAAAATTAATAATATAACGACAAAAATCTTCTTTCTACTTTAAGATTGCCTTCTTATCCAAATAATTATAATTGATCATTAAGTCATGTATATATTGGACCAAAATACCCATCTCTAAAACAAACACACACACATATCTAAAAAACCATTATAGTTTTCTAATAAAAAAAATTGTGATTGTATTGTTAACCTTTTTTATTCATATTTTAATTTCTTTTGTTATGAAAAAATATTTATTTAATAATTTTTTAATGTAAATACATAATGTGATAAAACATAATATTTTTAACGTGCACATAAAAAATTAATTAAGTAAATTTTTAATATAATATAAGATAAATGATAAATACAATTTATGTCTATCTTCTTTAATTTTTATAACTTCAGTACAAATTTTAAAAATCTTTATTTAAATATTGTCATGCTTAATTGTTTAAAGTTCTTTAAATTAGGGAGAGAGAAAGAGTAGATAAAATATAATATAGGGTAATATAATAATGTTAAATTTTGACATACTTACAAATAAAAAATAAGATTTTAAAATTTTTAACAAAATATTCCTAATGGTATTAGAAATTAAATTAAAACGTAAGCTTTGAAAATTATGAGAGAGGTATGAGTAATTTTAAACAAAACAAAAAAAAATGCAAGTGTAGTTTACTCTATGTTATTTAATAATTGCAGTAACCTATAAGAAGCTAACATATGGCTTAATTTACGGTATATCACATGAAAAAGGTCAAACAAAAGTTGGTAGTAGTATAAACGTGCATACAAAAAAAAAATTCACTTATCTAAACCTAACTAGGAATTGGTGGGCAAAACAGAATGAATATAACTATAGGTCGATAATTAAGATCATGACTCATGGGGCACGTGAGACGAAATAATCCAAGATTTATTTTTTTTTCACAACTAATATATTAATCAGTACCTAAGGATAATAAATTCCTACAGCATGCTTAAAATAACTAACAATTATGCTGATCGACTTGCCCATTAAAGATATATCTGCGTGATAACATCACAACTCTTCCTAGCTCACTTTAAGTAATTTTTAGCTATACTCTAATAAGCTATGTATTATTAACTAATCTCTCCTTTTGTATTATTCTATACTAAAAAGTAATTCTAGTGCCATCATGATAATTTGGTAATACATACTCTTTCCGTTCAAAATATAAGATTTTTTAAGAAATTTGATATTAAAAAATGTAAATATTTAATTTTTTTGAAGCGTAATCATTATTTTTTAAAAAAGTACCCTATTAATATGACTTTATAGTTGTTGTAGGATATTTAATAAGGGTAAATATGAAAAAATAGAGTTTGTTTAAAAGTAGGAAACTATTTTATTGGAGATGAAATTCAGTTTAAAAATTTTTATATTTTTAACAGAAAGAGTACATATCATATATAAAAAAATACTCCCTCCGTCTCAAATTATAAAATGCTTTTTTAAGAAGTTTCTTTATCTCAAAATATAAGAAACTTTGAATAGATTAAGGTTTCATTAAATGCGCTAATTTTAATATTGTCCTTTCTATCTCTGTAATTAATTTTCGTCCCTTCTCTTTTAATATATTAAATGATGGATGTTTTTGAAAGTTTATATTTTGTTTTAAAAAGATAAGATTATTAGGTGTATTTAATGAGATTTATTAATATATGAAAATTTATCTAAAAACATCTTATAATTTAAAATAAAGAAGTAATTCGTAAATATATTTACAATTGTTTTTAATTTAAAATTTGCTGAGACTTAATGAGCTCCGTGAACCTTAATTTTTTTAAAGTATATAAAAAAAGAAGGTACTTTAGTTTTTTCCTTAACAAAATCCTTTTGTAAAGGAAATTCACACCATCACTACAAATGAATAATTTACAGAGCCTCAGTCAATTTATTATTGACGCCATATAGTTTTCCTTGAGCTACCCGACTATGTCACTGCATCTAAAATTTCAAAACCAACAACATAATTTCATGATTGACACCACCATAAAATTCATTTTTTTTCCTCGAAATTCATTATCAATTATAGGAAAAACTCACTTAAGCTACTTAATATATATTTTTTGAAAAAGAAATTTTTCTTTTTGATAATAAAGAGCACGTGGACTCGAAGGAAAGGCAAGGGAAATCAGAAAATGACCTAATATTGACATTTTAAGGCTTTAATGGCGAAAGAAAAGGACGCTCATAAATGCACATTTAAAAACCTTAGCAAGTTTTTATAAAAAAAAAAAAAAAAAAGGCCTTAGCAAGTTGAGTTTTCCATTCCAGCTGGGCAATCATTTTCTCAGACTGCACGAGAGTAAAGAATAACATCAAAATGTTCATTGAATTCAATGGATCCACGTGTTAATATTAGGAAACTTGCATTAAATTTCAAATTTAATATCTCAATAATAAAAAATTGTTAAGAAAATTACTGACTCATCACCAAATTTTATACAAGTTATAATTATAATTTAATTAATTATATTTTAAAAAGATTAGACAAACATTTTTTATTACACGCATATGTTTTCTTATTGAAAAATTCTTATTCATAACACAATTGTACATTAAATCGATAATTCTCAAAACAGGATTTGAACTTCCAAACTTTCTTTTTTTGAAAAAAGAAAAATATTCGCAGAGTTATTAAAATTGACTGTCGCTTTTGATTTCAAGAATAATGATATGTTCTGATTATAAAACAGTCGACTTTTAAAAATTTTATTGTCCAAAATAAGAATTTTTTATTGAATCTATCAATAAATTTTATATTTGTTATAACATGGAAGTAATTTTTATTTATTAACCTTATTAAAAAGCCAGAAATAATGTATATGATCTATCTATGTATCAATAAAATCTCGCACAGACAACATTATTTCATTTTGAAAAAATATATACTCTAGCAATACTAGAGATTAATCTCTCTGAGATAGTGACAGTGAATGGCAGATTTCTCTCAATTAAGATGTTATATTCATTATTTAAGTATCTATAATCAACGAGTAATGAAAATTCTTTTTATATAAATAGTTCTCCTCAAATTGGTTTTTTACATCTCTTTATCCCATCATGAGTATTTTTATTTTATTTTATTTTCCATCTCTACTTTCTCATTACTTGAATTTTAATGTTCAATTTCTCATACAAAATTGTTGGTAAAAAAATTTCTCATATAAAATTTATCCAATTATCATATTTTATTTTTTGCCAAAAAACTTTATTTTTTTTTTTTGCCAAAATACTAAAGATATGCTCATACATTAATGGGGCGAAGATTCTCTCATCTTCCCTTCCCATTCTGTTCTCTTCTTTTTAATGTTCAACCATTAAATCAAGATTATTACAATCATTTCTTATAAAATATTGTTTTTGTTTTGTTTTTATTGTATTTTTTATTTTTTTATATTAAACTTCAACAGTTTCAAACTTTATTATTTATATCTTTATAATTTAATATCTTAATTTAATAATAATTTTAAAGGAGATACAATATCAACGGTTTAAATCTTAATCTAATGATTAAAAAAAGAAAAAGAAGGGAAGATAACAAGGAAGGGAGAAGAGAGAATCATATTAATAAGAGGCGCTTTTACAAAAGAAAAATACAATATAGTAATATAGAATTTGTTTAATTATTTGGAAATCCGTTTTCAGTTGGCAAAAAAAAAAATTCAAAAAACATGGAATGTTTATTTGAGTTGTGAGTTGTGTAACGACTTTTCGTCGTGACATTCCGTTTACTGAGTGTGGTGTGTTCAATTTTCTGCTTTCTTCCCCAACCCAACCCAACGCGACGCGCACACCTTCGTCCCTAGTTCTCGCGATCTCTGAATCTGGACGCCTTGTAAAACCGGCCACTTCTTCCCCATTATAAATCCAACCATCAATCCCTCAATCGATCGCTCCAACAACCACACTTCCAAAACCTTTCAGCTCGAGATTCTCTCCCTCTCTCCCTCTGAGGAATCGTTTGCCTCTCTCTCTTCTCTGTTACTGCCTACCTCCTTCATCTTTGATATCTGCTTCGTCCATTGCTTTCACGTTACAGTCTGCCTTATCTCTGAGAGGTACGCGTTTCATTGGCTTCTTGATTCGATCTGTTTTTCTTGTGAGAACGCCGTATTTAGCAAGTTTCATGTGCTTTGAGTTTTTTTTTTTTTGTTAATGGTGTGTTGTTTCCGTATTTCTTGGTTGCGGTTTTATGGATCCGTGTTAGAATTCAGTTTGGGAGTTGCTTTTCTGTAAGTCATTTCCGAGCGGAGAATCATGACGATTTGATGGTTTTGAGTTCTGACTTTTGGAATCTACTGTTCTTCACTGTACATAGGATTACTGGATCTGATGGGGATCGTGCAGTCCCGCTTTGATTTCATCGCTTCTCCTCCTCTTCTTTTTCATTTTATAATTATCTTTAAACTATGAAGATTCAGCTAATGTTAGGATGCTCTATTAGAACTACATGTTGCAGTTAATGATCATTCGGTATCTAATGGTGATGACCTGGTGCTTGTGGCCACAAACTATTTCTCTCCCTCCCTCATCCTCTTGATCCAAAACAATATTAGCATATGGTTTTGTTTAACCTCTGCATGGAATTGGCAATGAAGGATGGCGGATCAGATTTCATATATTTCTTCTACTTTTTTTTTTCCGTTTTCTTAACGTTCCAGCCTCGTTGAATATGAGACAAAAACAACATGGTCCGATGGGCTATTATAGTTTATTTACCTTGATCATGTACAGGACTTATTGCTTAATTTTACGTTTTGTTGACAATTAGTGGAATTTTAACATGGCTAATTTGCAGCGGATTAGTGAGAGAATATTACTAATAGAATTATCAACTCTAATATCTTCTTTTTAATACAGATAAGGCCATCGGGTTTAAAGCTTAGGGGTATACCTTGCATGAAGACAAACGAGTGAAGAATCCACATTACATATTAGAGTCTCCAGTTCATCATGTCTTCCGCAAGCAAGGGTGAAAGGAAGGCTGCCATTGATGCAGCGTCATGGTTTTTCAATGTGGTCACGTCTGTAGGAATAATCATGGTGAATAAAGCCCTGATGGCTAAATACGGTTTTACTTTTGGTATGTTCCCATTACAACTCTTTCCATTTTTAATTCCTCTTTTGAATATTTGATGGATCATGGCTGTCCTCACATGTTGCATGCTTCTTATCAATGTGTTATTCGGATAAAATATGCTTGTTTCTGGCATAAAACATCCAATAGGCAATGCTGGTTTTGAGTTTGAATTTCACCTCTGTCTTAGCAATTAACCTCTTTTATTTGGTTAAACTTTAGCCTGCTGGGCTTGGTTGACACTTGTGGGTGAGACGCTGTTGTGCAATATCCTAACTACATAAAGCAACTAATTGGAATTGGAAATGTGATGAAGCATAGAAATGGACTAAGAAGGATCATAAAAATGTATGGCAAACTACGCATAGACTCTAGAGTTCTTATTCCTCAGTTTTGATTTTACCCTTTCGGTGCAAATGAAAGTACTGCTTCAAATTAAAATGAATTGATGTGTCTAGCCTTGAATCCCTGGCCCCAATACAATTTTTCCCAATAATCTGGAATAAACATGCAATATTTCTTAATGGTAGTTGAACAGAGGACAATGTATGAATAATGCTAGTAAACAACAATGCTGCTTAAGCGGAAAAGATAGACTGAGTGTCAAGCTGAATCAAACATCAATAATTTGTGCTTTCAGTTTCCAAATTAATGTGTACTGCTCAGAAGTCTGTTTTATCAGATTTTACATGTGGCTTGTGAGTATAAGCAAAGCTTCTATAAAATTTTGTTTGATGTGAGAGACATGTTAAAGGTTTCACTTGGAAATCCATACTAAAGCAATTATTCAATTGTATGGTTTTGCTTTTGAGATTAAGGACAAAAATATTATTGATGACACACACAAGCACAAAAGGCATAAACTGCGGTGAAAAGAAGAGATGTATGATTATACAAAATCGTTTCTTTGAAGCATGAATCATGGTTTCTACTGATGAGGACAACAAATTGATTATAAGTTCTAGACTTCTGCACCATTCCTAATCTTTCATTTTATGTAATGCTATTTTGCAGCTACTACGTTGACTGGCCTGCATTTTGCCATGACAACTCTGTTGACAACCTTTCTTAAGTGGCTGGGATATATCCAGACCTCTAGTCTTCCATTACCCGATCTTATCAAATTTGTTTTATTTGCAAATTTCTCCATTGTTGGAATGAATGTGAGTTTGATGTGGAACTCTGTTGGATTCTATCAGGTAACTTGGGTGAACTATAAGTTTTGGATAATCTGACAGATTTCAGAACTTAAAATATTTATTGCCTTCTGATTGAATTGTACAGATCGCTAAGCTGAGTATGATTCCAGTATCTTGTTTTCTGGAAGTTGTCTTGGACAATGTGCGGTATTCAAGGGACACAAAGCTTAGCATTTTATTGGTTCTCCTTGGTGTTGCTGTCTGTACAGTCACTGATGTAAGCGTCAATGCTAAGGGTTTTGTAGCTGCTGTAGTGGCAGTTTGGAGCACCGCACTGCAGCAATACGTAAGTAACACTTAATTATATTAAGAATCTTACGAGATATGCATTGGATGAAAATAAAATTCATGTTTATAGAGTTGGTGGAAGCAAAATTTTAGGTTCATGTAGCATCTTGACATGCATGTTCATAACCACATGCTAAAACTTACATTAGAATTTATTTAATATTATGGTTTAAAAATTTGTGCACTGAAGTTTTAAGTAAGTTTAAAATATCTATATGAAATTTCTTCTTCAACATATGGGTTTTGACTAGAAAGGATCCCCAGATACAATTTCTGTGTAGCTTGTAGCTCATTTCATTGGCAACTTTATCATTCATTTGGCATCATAATCTAGGTTGATGGAAGCTGATTCTTTTCATTTGTTTTATGCAGTATGTACATTTTCTTCAGAGGAAGTATTCTCTTGGATCGTTTAACTTGTTGGGCCATACTGCGCCAGCACAGGCATCAAGTCTGCTGTTATTAGGTCCCTTTGTGGACTACTGGCTGACAAATAAACGAGTTGATGCTTACAACTATGGTTTGGCATCCACTGTAAGTTTTCCTCACTTTCCTTTTCCGTTTACATGGGTATATAGGGTTAACAAAAATGTGCCCGGTCTATTTCAATTTGGATCCCCTGAATTATTTTCTATGAAGTTCCATACAAAATGTCTTTTGCTTTCACTGATATCTTGTACCTTTTGTTAGCTTTAGTTCACTTTCACAATCAATTCCTTTGAACTTTTGGCACTTTCTTTTGAGGCGTCCTGTGAAGTTTCAATAATTTAGCCAGATCTATCTTGCCATTGCTCCTAAAGTTTGAACTGTTCTTGTGGCCTGCAGTTCTTCATCACTCTGTCATGCTGTATCGCTGTAGGGACAAACCTCAGCCAATTCATCTGCATCGGCCGGTTTACAGCGGTGTCATTTCAAGTCCTTGGCCACATGAAAACTATTCTGGTCCTCATCTTGGGGTTCCTTCTGTTTGGAAAGGAGGGTCTCAATCTTCAAGTAGTTCTAGGCATGATAGTTGCAATTCTGGGAATGATCTGGTATGGAAATGCCTCTTCCAAGCCTGGAGGGAAGGAGCGTCGTAGCTTGTCAATTCCCACCACCAAATCACCAGATTATAGTGCAGTTCCAGTTTCATCCGAACCTGATGAAAAGGTATAGTCATCAGCAGTTAGCAACAGGTCGAGAGAAGAAGGGGATTAAACTCTGGATCAGCTGATTCATTTTTATTTTCATTACTCTCAAAATGGAATCCCACCATTATTATTTATTTATAGATGCTAAATCTTATTTATTTGTTTTTTTTTTAAATGTATCTCTTGAGTTGAGGGAAGGACACGTCTGTAGCGTGCAGCCCCCTGTGAAAGAATGAAGGAAAAGATAAATGAGTAGTCTCCATTATGTTCCATTTTTTTTCCTGCACAGAAAAAGAAGGAATGTTACACCTTTTCTTCTTTTAATAAAATGCTCTTTGAGAAATGCCTAAATTTAATGTTGACCGTAAAACAAGATTTTTTTTTTTTAATAGATGAAGGGGGAAAAATGCTTTTCTTTATTCAAACGGACTGTGGGGCAAAAGGGTCAAAGCATTTTTTAACCTCTCAAAGCCCATGGCAAAATGTGGATCTCAAATTGCAAGCTGTGGCCTGTCTTTTTCTTCTTGGGCCGAAGGATATACTTTTGTATAAACAAACAAACAAACGCAGAAACCAGAAAACCTTAGACATCTCCAGAGCAAACTATGAAAGAAAGAAAGAACCTTAGCCAGTTCCCTCTTGCCTACGTTGATTTGAGGTAGAATCAAATCCATCTTGAAAATTCAAGCCAAAGAGGAATCACCTGGGAAAGAAGAATAAGACAAACCATTTGGCATGATCAAGTATAAGTTATGAGCTGTGGTAAACAATTTACTCAAATGTCACCAGAACCCATCCTTGTTTGAGCGTGTCTACGTTAGATCTTCGAATAATACCAAAATCTTTAACCGTATCAACATGTTACATCATATCATGACCATATATTCTCAAACATATGACAAGATTTCTTTTAAAGTCCAATCTCCAAAAACTGTCTCCATTTGCCTAACACGGCCGAAACCGATCTCATCCAATCTCATTCCACCGCTTCCTCATTTTATGCCCATTTTCCTTCTACATTTGAAGCGCCGGAACTGAAAATATGAAAAAGAAAATAAAAAAATATTGAATATCTATTTTTCAATTATTTTAGTGAATTGCTCTCAAACGAAACGTTAATCTGAATCACAGGACAGTGGCTAGGACCCTGAAAAAAGGTTGTAATGAGACTGTTTTTTTTTTCAGTCTAGAACATAAAACGCTTGGTAATTTTTGAAATTATTTTTTTTAAATCTATCCTTATATTAATCAATACACCATCAAGGAATATAATTTAACTAAACACTTCTTTTCACTTTCACTTTTCATAATAAAAAGGTAAAGACAAAAAGGGAAATGCATGTATTTTTTTTCATGCAAGTAAGAAAATAGATATTTTTATCAGTATGAATAATTTAGATAAAAGAGAAAGTAAGCGACAACAGCTACAGTGGAAGTAAATGTGGCAACAAGGGGTTGGGTGGAGCTGAAGGAAACGAGATGAGGTGAACAATTTTTTTTTTTTTTGGGTAATATGAGGTTAATAATTGAAGTGGCTTTGTGGAAGTTTAATGTGCGATGGTCCCAACTAACAAAGAAACAAGAAGACAGGTGGATAAATAGAGATACATAAGCATATTTAAGCCCAACACTACACTTAAGCTACACGGCAGAAGCAGAGCCTGCAATAAAAAAGCCTGAATTTCTACTGAGGCATTGGGAATGATGCGTTCATAGTCTCTCATACACAGTAAAAATTAGGTTTTTTTTTAATGATTATTATTATTATTATCATCTTGACATTTAAGACCTCAGGTTCCAACCTTCTCCTGCAGCAACACGCCAGCACCTGGTTGATTCTTTTGTGCCCATCCATAATGTCAAATCCATGGTTAGGTGGAGTGCAAATATGTTGTACCACAGATTTAAAACTAGTCATTCTCCTAGTTTATTAAATAATAATAAAAAAAACTAATCTTTTATTTATCTAATTTTTAAATTATTTATAACTTAATTTTTTAATTATGACTTAATGTGATTTAATTTATCAACTATAATTTGATGTGACTCATTTTTTAATTATGACTTATCTATGACTCAATTACTCAACTTTTAAATCACTCACAAATTAATCTTTTAACTTTTGTTAATTTTTTATATTAGCTTATATCTCAAATGAGTAAGAGAATGATATTTTTTATGAGTAGAGAAAAAAAATTAAAGAAAAAATGCATTTAGATAAAAGTAAATTAAAAAATTAGACAATATCAATAATTTAGCTATCTTTACTTAATTTTGGTTAGATAATTAAAAATGATTTATACTAAGTAGTAGCTTGTTTGTGCGTTAAAGTGTTTTCTCAATGCAATCCCCAATTGACTGTAGTGACGTCTTAATTTTTTATGTGAATTAGTTAGTTGTTTGTTTGTCACGAGTAAGTATTTGTAACATTATCTATCAGAAAAAAAGTTCAATACTAGCTCATGAAATTTCTAGAGCGTTGAATCTATTGACATTACAAAATCAATCCATTAATATTTGAAAAATGATACAAACAACTAAATACAAAACTTAATATAAATCTCGTTCATTAAGTTAGACCATTATTTATAACTCATAGATCTCCTTAAAAAATTTATTTAATGATGATGATTGATTATATATGGATATGTTCATGATGATATTGATATTATTCTCTCTCTTTTTTCTTTTGCTTCTTAAATTTTTCTCTCCCATTTTCTTCACTCGTTTGTTCCAACCTACTCTTTATCATGCAGTTGCCCTGTAAATTCATGAAAACCAAAAATTATAAAAATACATTTGTTGTTCTTTAAATATATAAATAATAAAATAAAAAATATATCACATAGATCATATGGGACAAAATACACATAAAAACAATGTATTAATTTGTCTTTTTTGTCTTATTTTTCTATGGTATCAAGTCTAAAATGTTGATCAATAAATCAAACATAATGACCTAATCATGACTTGATTTTGTTGTACCTTTGCTTTCCTGCAACAAAGGATTAAGTATATCTGCCAAATTTGGTCATAGCAAAAGGGGAAGTCCTTGAAGATTAATTTAGCACACATGTGTGGCTACAATTATAAGGATTTCAATAGAACTGAGATTTCTCAAAGATTCTAAGGTATAAAAAAAAAGGTTGAAAATTTAGATAAAATAATTCAGATAATTCGGCTCACGAAATTTTTTTTCCAAAAGTTAGGTTCTAAATTCTAAATATAGCTGCAACGGGGTCCCACTTTATTGAATTCGTCTCTCCAAAAGAATAACAAAAGCCTATCCTACACCTGCCCTAACTTTTCGGTGGGAAATTTGAAATTATGTATTGTTATAGTACTCTACAGGTAATATATAATATTAAAATTCTAACATATTGAACACCTAAGATCGAATTTGTCTCGATACCAAATATTTTGATAAGATCATTTTAAAAATTAAATGTTAAGCAAAAAAAAATTATTTCAGAAATAATATTAGGATCACGTGTAATACTTTATAAAATCTCGAATGCTCACTAATTATACACTATTTTTGCCTAATTTAAGTTAAAAAATAAACTAAAATTAAAATAAATTTGAAAGATTGAAATCTGAAAAATTCTTCATAATAATCACAAAGCCAATTTATTGCTTGTTATATATATATATTCACATATATATATATATATCGAACAGATATAAAATATATATATATATATATATATATATATATAAAAACACATGAGCGCAAAAACCAAGCCAAGCCAAGCCAAGCCAGGTGGACAACACCTCGTTCATGCCCTAAGCTATACTAAACAAAACCATGTTTACTAAGCTACCGGAATAATTGAACACTCTTAAAATTAATAATTAGAAAATAGCCATCGATCAATAATAATTAGTTTTTTTAAAAAATATATATAAAATAAATTATAAATATTGATTTAAAGAATCACCAGCTGAGAGTTGCATTGAAATTTTAATTGTTTTATTTATAATTGAAGTTCCTAAATTTATAACGATCAAAATCAATATTCAGAATCTATTATCAAAAGAAATTATAATTTTTTGTGTGAGACCTAATTGTCCCGTGTAAAAAAGGATGATAGCCTTCGTGCGGGTGGCATTCAAATTGAGAGAGATTGTACTTTTGAACCAAAGAAAGACCAAAAAGAGTGTGAGTCCCACCAAGCGAAGGCTCTTTCTTCTTGCTTTTTTTCACAACCATCACAAAAGCAACGGATCATAATCATACCTCTTTCATTAACTCTTTCATCTAACTCACACTTCCTCTTCTTCTCTTCTCTTTTCATAATTACAGATTCACCCCTACATTTGCATCAATTTGAAAATATGTCTCAACACCACAATTGTCTTGCTTAGTAATGTTTATTTTTTTAAATATTCTAAATTCTGAAAAATAACTGTCTTCATGAATTTCTTAATTCATTTATTTCATTTAATGAAGTGATGAACAGGTTGTTAGACAAACTTCTGTAATTTATTTATTTTCGGTAAAATTATTCTACGGGTATGAACGATATGAATTATTTTTCAGATACTATAAAATGCACACAAAAAATAAAGTTAATTATTTTTAAAATTTTAATTTATCATGCAAAAAAAAGTGCCAGTTGAATTGTTATTTTTATATTTTTGATTGGAAAGTTAAAAAGTTTTAGAAGGAAAAAAGGGGTGGCTCTTTGCTTTGGAACTTAATGGACCAAAATGTGGGGCCCGTCTCATTATACTGAAGTAGGTCCCACAGAGCCTTCAATAATTTGCTGCGCGTGAATGTGCACGTGTGGTGTCCTCTCATTGATGATCCTCCTAATTGCTTATCATGAAAATTCTACTAATAATTTCCACTCACACCACCTCCCTCATTCGTCTTAATTACTCACAAACATTTATTATATTTATTATAAAAATTTTAAAAATATATAATCTTTAGTACCTATAATTTTATTAAGTAATAATTCTGATATTTTTTTCAGTATTTTTAATTTTATAAATAAAAATAAAATTATTAAAAAATTATAGAAATATAAAAAATAAAAGTCACCTAATTTTTTTAAAATTACAGAGACTAAAAATATTATAAAAAAATTACAGGAACTAAAAATCAAATACGATAAAACTATATAAGAACAAAGATTGTGTTTTAAAAAAAATTAAAAGAGATGAATGACCTTTATAATAAGTCTTCATGAAATATTAATTACTCTTTCGTTCAATATTACTCTATAAAAATATGTTCAGCCAAATAACACCAGTAATAAATTAA